GTTGATGGTGAGTCCGAATTCGGCCGCTGTCGAAGCCATTGCACTATTTTTATGCTGCAACTCATCCACGCAGTGTGAAAACAACGCACAGTCGTTAGCAAACCGCAACATACGGATAGTTGTCTCACATCCTAGAGTACTCGCACCGAAACGACGGATGTTTAACAACCCACCATCAATACGGTGCTCCACACGAACACCGTACTCACAAGCGGCATCAAAAGTACAAGAAATCATTGCATGAAGATATATATATATTAAAAAGGGCAGGAGGTAAGACACGGTCTTGCTTCACACCAGAGATAACTGCAAAGTCATTCGGAGTCTCTCCACTCAGCTGCACCTTCACCCGCATACCACTATGCAGACATTCAATTAAACTTACAAACTTACGCGGGCAACCAAACTTACCCAACACCAGCCACAATGCCTCGCGGTTCACCGTATCAAATGCCTTGGTAAAATCAACAAACAGCGACAACGGCTGAGGTCGTTCTCTACACTTCTCCTGCAACTGACGAGCCGCGAACACCGTATCTATAGTGTTGCGACCCGAGCGGATTGTACACTGCTCTTCCGCCACGTTACGTTCCACAGCCAGACTGTCGAGGCGGTTGAGCAGGATTCAGACAATTACCTTGCCCACACAAATCAGCAAGTTGATGCCATTAACATTTATTTTTGACATTGGCATGCATGGCTCGAGGGATGAACTGTACAGCAATATGCCAAGAGAGGACGAATGTCCCGGCAGAATAGGAAACACTGATTGAAATAAAAAAAAACTTCAAACAGTGGTCGGAACCGCGTCAATTGTCACCGTGTGGGATTGAGTGCATGTTATGTAAGGCGTGATGATGCACCACGCATGTAGGTGTCGTAGACCTTCAGAGTCAGGCGAAGAATAGAAACACAGAGGTCAGAAATATCAAGTGATGTCATCCCGAGTGCGGTAAGATGTTTGGCTGAGGTGGAACATATCATCCCTCGTTTATTGATAACGACGGGGTGGTGAACAATATTTGTCGTCTCAGGAAACTGTTCACGTATGTACCGCGATATGGCTGCGGCATTCTCCCCTGATCCGTATTTATCCACTTTCAGTTTATAAGTACAATCCATTCGGTAGGCGTCACAGATGGCCACGTCCACAATGTGAACCGTAGAATTTCTAACCGCAAGCAGGTCTGGCTTGATGAAGGAGGTGGCTGTTGGAATCCTCGGCTCCATAACAATGTTAATGCTTCGGCGCCGCAATTGCCTGGCAATCTGTTGGGCAATTTCATTGTGACGTTTATAGCGGACATCATGCGTGATGCAGCACGCCTGAAGAACATGTGACAGAGTCTCGTGCAACAGTGCTTGCTCCCTTTGCCCTTGTACAGTGGTAGCACAAGGACATCCTTCAGCTCAGGAGGCACCTCCTCCTCAACTCACACGGGTTGCACCAAGTGGTGCAGCGCAGTCACCAACGCGGGTCTGCCGTGTTTCAATACTTCAGGCAGGATCCCGTCGGCACCGGCACACTTGCCGTTTCGCAGTTGAGCAAGTGCTCTCTGCGTCTTATCCAGTGTCGGCGTGTCCGCCTGACTCTTCTTAACTTTGCGCTGCTTCAGGTCGTTCAAATTAGGCCAGTCGATCTCTGAACAATTGTTTCCAGAGATAGTCAAAGTGTTTTTACTAGATCTGCATTATGTCTGCGTCTGTGTGCAGGTAGCGCCTGAGCTACCATCCATCAGCTTTTCCGACCTCGGTCCATACACCGCCTCCAAAGAGTCAAAGGTTTCCTTGTGTTGACGACGTCCGGCATAGCATTCCATCTGCTTCTCCTTCTCCGTCCACCATGCATTTTTATGCGACGGAGGTCTCGGGTCAGTCGCCGTCGAATTTGGCGAAACTGACTATTTTTCCCCAAATCACTGGGGTCTGCTACATGTGTAGCAAATGCTGCACTCTTCTCACACACCAATGCGTCAATCGTCGTATTGTTCTCATCGAACCAATTAGGCCGCTTACAGTTTGCGCGCCCGATGGTCTCTTGGGCAGCAACTGTCACCTAGTCCCGAATGTGATGCCACAGGTCGCCCATTGTGGCTATGCATTCCACATTCCACAGGCCTGCAGACATCACCTTCTCCTGCTTAATGTGTCTCCACAGAACCAAGGGAGAGGGTATTAAATTTACACCGGTTCCCAGCAGCACTGTAATATATAGCTTTACGAAAATATATTACCGTTTGGTCCGCACTAATTTGTGATCAGTGCCACACAGCTCCACGCAGTACACGTGTCATGCGCATTTCACGCATATCACGCTGACGTACGATGACAGTCGAGCAGGTGAGCGTGATCACTCTGTGGGTGCGTCCAAGTTGCTTTGTCACTCGCACTGAGAGGCTCACTTTGATCGTGTCCTGATAACATAATTTTGGTTTCCCCACATGCCGCTTCCCAATATTCTACTGACCATATAATAGTTGTTTCGGTAGCCGCGTCCGATCCATACGGCTCACATGACCGAGCCACCTCAGGTATTTCAGCAAAAGTATGCAGTCCACTGCATACACCCCACTTTGTCGCAGCACTTCCGTGTCGGCAACTCTGTCGCCCCAATCGATGCGCAAAATCCGTCTCAAACACTGCTGATGGAACCGCTCGAGATATCGCACATCACGCCGGTACGTATATATACGTATATACATATATATATGTATATATTTATATATAAACATATATATGTGTATTCAATCCTTTACAGATTTCAATACAGTTCGCTGAGTGCCACAACACCTAAGAAGAAAAAAGTTGCTTGACAAGGAAAACAAATGTTAGGGTCGAAGTGTCTCATAACAAGTGTATCATTGCGTATGGTCCTTGCCTATATCTTCCAGCGTTTGCAACCACATGTGCTCGGGGTCTTTTGGTCCCCAACCCGGAAGTCGGGAATGCTCAACAACAGCCAGCTACAACGTATGCGCCTTAACGCTTTGGATCCAAACTTTTCATTGCCCTCCTTTTCATCGCTTCCAATCCACACATGTGCTCACAAATATGGCTCGTCGTAGTAGTCTGGGTAGGCTTGCGGATCACATCCTCAAGCCAGCGAAGCCTGCTCTGTGAAGTGATGCTATCAATCAGTCGGCGGAGTTCGTTAGATCTGAAGACTCGCCGACTGTCTTCCTCATTACTGATGTGATGCTGCCATCGAACACCAGCAATGCTTCGCAGGCAGCGGCGATCGAAGACAGTTAGCCGTTGAACATCGCTTTTGCGAACTGGTCAATTCTCACAGCCGTACAGCAGAATCGCTCGTACCGTAGCATTTTAGACTCGTCCCTTGAGAGCGAGGCTGAAGTCACGACGAAGTCACAGGTGACGCAGCTTAGCGAAGGCGACTCTAGCCTTGGAGACAAGCAGGGAGATCTCATCTGTCAAACCGCTAATACTATGACAACTCGCATGATAAATGAATTTTTCGATCACTTCCAGCTGATGTCCCGAAAGGGTGAGAGAAGGATATGCGCTTGGCCAGTCCTGTAATAGGACTTTACATTTGGAAGGGACAAAGCTCAACCCAAATTCTGAGGCAGACATCTCCAGTCCGAGCAGCACATGCTGGGCGACTTTGGAGGACTAGCAAATCACAACGATATCATCGACGTACTCTAACTCCCGAAGCCAGTCACCAGGGAACAGTTCAACACCGCAGGACTCAGAGTTTTCCGGGGCAGTATTCAGGATCTAGTCCATGGTGAAGTTGAACAAGAATGGAGAGGCTGGGCAACGCTGTCTAGCATCACTACTGGTACTGAAAGGGGGCGGAGTGTCTCCGTATGCTAGCACGCCTCTGGTGCTATGCCCGAACTCTTTAAACGCCCTGAGTAGTTTGTTCACACTTAACAGTCGTGTTAACCTTGCTTTGTTAGATGGTTCCCAACGGTTTGCGATATAATTTACTCACCCGGTTGTTTGGTGGGCTGTCTTTATGACCCTAGGTTCCGGGTGGGATCCCCTTATTTAACCCTCTTCCTTGACGTGGACTACTGAGAAATACCGTGCTCACACAACCTATGGATTAGTGCTTCAACGATTCATTGCTCGCCGTCTCCGTTTTCTGCAAATGATAACCTCTACCGAGTTGCCGGCCGTCAAACCTGCCAAATCTCACTACTGCACCACCGTTCACTTTCTTTATTCCACTTTTGTTCAACCCCCATTTTCAGTTAAATTTTAATCTTAAATGTTTGACTTCTGATGTGCTCGAAAATTAACGAAACCGGTCACACACTGTAGCTTTGAAAACAATCAAGCCATAATAGCTATTTCATTTTTTCCGTGGTTGAAGAAGTGTGGCCTTCCTCACTTAGATGTGTGCGCCCTGCTGTCGCTTCCACATCCTCTTCATTTCTGACGCGCACTCAGAAAACTTTAGCAACGGATTGCTCACCCTTCTATGTTCTTTGTGCTTTTCTCCGGTTTTTGCTCGTTGCACCACGTCTGTATACCCTTTCGACTGAGATTTACTTCACGACTTGTTGCTCTGCTCGTTCTTCTCCCTTTCCTGTCCTCATTTTTGCTGCATACGCATATAGAAGACCCAACGCTTTGGTGTTTCCTTTTGCTCGAAGGCTTCCTGATTCGCAGCACAAACCACTAAATGCGCTGCTGCTTTCTTTGACGTTGTCTCCCTATCAGGTTAGACATCGGTATTCACTCTTCCGTCTCATACATTAGATTGGCTACATTTCTATTCGATGTTACGTTCATTAGCATCGCTCCATGCTTAACTCAATCAAAAAGTGCCTCGCTTTTCAAACGAATGGACCTGTTCGTTACTTCTGTTTCTTCTTCTGGTGCCTAACATCATTGGACTCCTCATGACGTTCATGTGGCTTGCTCGGTTTGTTGTTGTTGTTGTTTTCGTTCTACTTTCCGCCTGAATATGAGCAGCCGCAGGCTTGACTTTGGCTTACGATCGTTTTGCACTTTGCCGCGATCAGGGTCGACACGGATTCGGTAACATCTACGTGTGGGCTTCAGGAAACGGGGGAATACAAGGGGACTCGTGTGCCGCGGACGGGTATGCCAGCAGCCCCTTTACACTCTCTGTGAGTGGTGTTGGCGAACGCAATGGACGCCCTTGGTATCTCGAACAATGCTCATCGACTCTGGTGACCACTTATAGTAGCGGAGCGCATTCGGAGAAGATGATAGTACGTCTTCTGTGTCTCGCTTATCAGTCAGTACTGTCCACTCATCTTCACCTTTTCTACTCCATCGCTCTTGTTGCTATATCGACCACCGAGTATTCACTCTGTTTCTCTTACTGTGATTCCTGCTGTTCTACTATTGTTTGTTGTATTGGGCCGTGCATTTCTCATCGAGTCAGATCGACGTTTCGAAAAGGATCCAAATCTACGATCCATAAACCACAGGCTTGTTCGTACAGTACTCAGATTTTAAGTATCATCTCCACCACCACCACCATCGATTCCATGTTGTTGCGCCCCATATCGTCCGCCTCTACTCATTGTTCCGCGTTACCTGTTCGTCCTGTCTGATCGGTCCAACACATGCCTGCTCTATCTGGGGCACGCTGAGCTTCATTCGTGCTAAGTCGCATCAATTCTGCGTTGCCATCTTGTCCGTGCAATCCTGTTCAGCTCCCGTGAGCACTACTTGCATCGTCTTATGTCTATTGAATTGGCATCGACTTCGCTTATGCAATTGACCAGGAATGCTGCACGCCATGCCGTCAACCGATATTAATTGGTACACAGGTACTGTGCGCTCGTTCGTATCCAGTTTGTCTTTGTCTTAGAGCATGTTGTTCTTCGCTTGTGCCGGACCAGATGGATCCTGACGCACCCCCGTTGCCCGTGCGACTTTGGCCTACTCGTGTGGGCGGTGCTTCATTGGCTTACCGTCCAGCTTCCACCACATTTTATGCGCTTTTTCATTCCATCAGTTGTCACGAAATTTGTTTTGCATTATAACTAGACTGCCGAATTTTGTCTCTATGCCTTGTATTTGTGTGAATCAGCCGCACTTATCCGCTTGCTGCTAACATGCTTTTACGTCCGTTTCATCGTTTGAGTCCCGTTTCGTTTCCCTTTTTTCCACATTTCCTTCAGGTTACACTTGATCCGCAGCAAAAGTGTACAGATACGCACACTGGCACTTCAGCCAGTGCTCCCATGGCTGCTGCCATCATTGCCCTGTTGCTGGAGGCGAAGTACGTGCATGCCAGTCCAGGCGCGTTCTTTCGAAATCCCTTTCATAGTCGTGCGTCCACGCGTTCCTTTATTGTTAGGTTTCTCATCCTTCTTATTGGAATTACTTGTTACCCGCCAACAATCTTATCTACTTTGCCTGGTTTCTGTGTTTATGCGTCACAACTGTAGCGGGGCCGTGCCATATCTGATGCACCTTGTGAATGTTAGATTAGAGCTTTCACATTTGTTGAGGGCTGAGTTTGAACAGCGCAGTGTTAGTATAGCTTACTTCTCCACCTATCTTTGAGCACGTTTGTTCTTCACTAGTTTGCCATCAACCGTCTGAGCACTACGGTGTGATCCCTGGAAAATTCATCTCGCTTTGACCGTCCTTGAGCATACTCACCGATCTTTGTAAGCTTCGCTATTGCAGAAAGCCATCCGTTACTTTCCCCCACCTTTCCAGTTCACATGTAGACTGGTGTCATTTTAACCACACTATCAAATGGGAATACACTTTTTGTGTGTGTTTGTGGCTGGGTTCATCACGACTCTTCCGATCTGTGATAGATGCAACTCGGGAACGGCATCAATACTTCAAGACGCTTTATGGCACGGTTGTATCTGATTGTTTGGCACGCCGAACAACCTCCCCGTGATGCCAGCTGGTTGATTCGGGTAAATCTCGTTCCAGCGAATGGTTCGGCGCCAGTGTTCCAGGAAGTAGTGGGATTCCACCTGGCAATCCCTCTCCCTATAATAGCCACAAATGTCTGTTTGACAGTGCTGCGATGTGACGGATATGATTCGCCAGCAAATGAAGTCACTGTTCCTTGCCTGTTAGAAATGATCTTGCCCACTCCGCGAATGTCGAAGATTTTCTTCGATCTTTTCTCACGATTACACTTACAAATGCGGCAGCACATATACAACTCCAAGTAGCACCGCTGCATACACATTGTTGGCGGCTTCCGATTTGCCTGTCGCTATGGCCTGCGTAGAATAGCCACAAGGCGTTTACGCTTACAGAAGGAGTATGGGTGGCTTGGGCTGCACCATTCACAGCTCCGTCTACACCCCCATATCCGGTGTAAACCTGAAGGAATAAGGCCTGGAGCAATGTGAATGGGAGCCACGTTTCACCAACGGAGCTGGCCCACACTCCTTCAATGTGCTTATCAGCAGCATTCAAGTCTGTCTACTTGGGGATTCATGCGTACCAGGCGTACACAATTCCGTGGCTGGGCCTAGTCTGTTCCACACTGGAGACATGGAACCACTTTTTGAGCCCACCACGGCCACCTGGTCCGTGCACCTCGTCCTCCCCAGGATCGTTTCACACTCTTCTGAGGCCAGTAATCGAGGTGGTTGATGTTATGCATGTAGGCACCTTGTTAGCATTCCCATCAGGCGCAGCCACATCGTGGGTATCAAAAATCAAGCACATAATTTAAAGGAAAAGCAACACGCAAATTGACACAGAATATACAGCGGAATAACAGTGCATTTCATTCGTTTACGTGTTTTTCCTTTTTATATACCAAACTGTGCTAAAGTATAAGGTCACATTTTTACACTTATTTTGTTACCATAATCCATCCTACCTTCTTGCAGTCCCCGTTTAGGTTGGCGTGACGTGCAATATGTGACCCTGATGACTCCAAACCCACACCCATTCATTGATGGCAACTTTACAAGGAATGCCGTTGGACGACAGTGTGCGTTTTACTTGGTAGTCACTTTGCTTTCGCCACATACGGGCAATCTTTCATGCTGTTCTCTGTCGCAGTCGTCCCGACGTTGCGCAACAACTCATCTATCTCATACTCGCTTTGCTTCTGAATACTCTCTGCAGACAGCCAGCTGTATGGTTACGGTCTCATGGACGCCGGCAAAATGGTACGTCTTGGTGAACTATGGCGCGGGTTGCCACCTCACCATCGATGCACCTCCAAAGTAGGAAGCGCCAAACTGTGAGTCACTTCTCTGTGTGTTGCGTGCTTTCTCGCGTCATCGCCCCTTGTAGGATACTCTGTTTGATCAATTCGCTGTACGAGCACGCTTCATACGTGTTGCCTATTAGGCCAGTTCACCATGTTTTTTTCACGAAGGCCCTAATTCACTTGCGAACCAGGACCTGCAATACAAGCACAGAGTTCTCTTCCTGAGCTCTCTGGGTAACACATTCGTACTTCGTTTGCACCAGGCAATCGCTGCCTGTTCGCAAGGACTACATTGATGATTTGTTTTTTTTCTAATTTGGGCATGTTTACTGAACTAACTTACCCAAATTGTCTTAAAGGTTATTCACTCTGCACATGCAGCCAACGGTTTCGGGTCATCAGTGTCCTGTGTCCTGCTCCCACAATAGGAATGCGTTTACCCATGATAACACTTTCTTGGTGTAGTGTCTCTGTATCAGTCAACTCCGCGAAAGGAGCTGTGGTACATACTTGTATCCCCGCCAACCTATCCGACTATCGTAAGCTCCCACCGGTATTGACTTGAGTTCATCCGCTTTTTTGTGTGATGGTTCTTGCGGATCTGATCCATTGTTTCTTCCTTGTGGTAACTTCATCCTTCTTCCACATAATTCTATCAAGTCTCCCATCTTCCTTATGTTACTTGTCCGTAATTTATTTATTTCCCGCTTTATTTCAATGCTAGGTCTCTCTTAGGGTTCTTCAACCATACGCTCGCCCTTAATTTCTCCGGCTGCGTTCCACCTCCTCGCCTAGACGGCCAGTCGTATACGGACTATTTGCACAGCAGATCAGAAGACGGAAGTCCTGTGCGATATCTGGAACATGTGCAACTTTACGCGGACATTGATTACCAAAGACGTGGTCTACTACAAATCACTATGATTTCCCCCTCAGGTGAACCAATTTCCCCTCCACGTTCTTCGTAATCAAGTGTTGCTGTAATGCCAACTGTTTCGAATTCATACTCAAAACGTCCATAGACATCAGCGTATCCTCATACACACACTAACCTCCGTCACGCGGGTCGATTAGCACGACCCGCCCCGTCTATTTTTTATCATTATTTTTTATCTTCACCTTTTCAACCCTCAGTTAGACCTTCTATTGTTACTCCATAGTATTCCCTTTTTAGGGCGGGAAACGGCTCCAGTTCTGTGTAGCTGCTGGCACGGCTTTCTGCCTGCGCTCTATTGGTTTCAGTCACCTGATTGCATGCACCTTTTTTCTAAAGTCTTCGGCCTTCAGTCACGTATATCCATGCACCCTGGTCTACTTACACTCAACTAGTTCGATAACGGGAGCCCTTTTAGCTCACGCGCCTCATAACGATGCTGTCAGATATGGTTCAACAGAATGAGATTTTTGATCCAATTACAGTAATACACCTCAGTAAGTTCACTACTCTAGGGACTGAACCAAAGTGGTCAACATACAAAGGTCTGGTTCCCTAAGGTTTATATGGTGGACATCCAAGCAATGAAAAACAAAACTCTCAGCTTAGAGTTATGGTCAGGACATAGAGGTGGTCAACTTCGGTTTTTCAGTATTTGTAATTTCGTCACAGTATCTATCTTAATAAACAACTGGTCATACGAACAGTGGCAACAATTTGTCCTCCACTTCATGAGTTCATCGACTCATTCGCCGAATTCTGGTTTGCAGAACAAGCGTAGGCTATTTATTAATCATTCTGATCACTGAAGCCGACTCCACTGCATGTTATTGTTTTTAACCGTAAAAATAGATAGGTGAAAATGTTCGCTTACTAATGCTCAGCATGATCCGCATAAGTCCATCTACTGTAAGGTCACCTCTTATGCGGGTATTCACCCACTAGATCCATTTTGCAAAGCACTTTTCCAAATTGATGTTGTAAATAGGTTGCTCCAAATGAGTGGTGCAGACCAACTCACGTTCATTTTCGCGCTTCATTTCATTTCAATTAGTCCAACTGTACTCCACGCATTGAACTGCGTTAGGTCTAGTTTTCACACTTGACGACATTAAAACTTTTACAGTCGCATGATGAAGAGAACGAAACAAACTACAATCGAAAGGTTGGCAAATAAATCCGCTTAGAATGTTCTCTGTTGCATACAACCGAGTGAATGCTGCGAATCCGTTGACTGGGACTACACAACATCGGATCAGCTAATTAATGTGGTCGGTTCTGAAGCTGTCATCCGAGAAGACGGTATACACAAGCCAACCTAAGTGCCGCAGTCGATTTCTCTGTACCCTTTTGCCACCTCATTGACTGACCATTCAACGGTTTCACAAAGGTACGCTATGCTAACCGAGTCACGCGGTCAGCAGGTATACGAATGACATGGCCTGACAAACATAAGCGGTTCAAACTTAAGGGACATCCCAGTAACACTGTCCGTGTGTCCGTGTCGAACACCCTGGCCTTGAACACAACGCTGATGTCGCATCGCCTCCACAGACGACAGCGAATCAACGCAATGTCTCTGTTTGTTCAGACAGATCGCTCTACTTAGAGAGCACGCACTCGCCACTTAAAATCAATGTCTTTGAAACCTAGATATAATTAGCTGAACTAAACTTTATTGCCCAAGAATTGACCTCACTGTACCATAAACTCAACTTTATTCGCCCGAATTTTGATCACTTTTTCGATGCGCTCGTTTTGTTCTCTGATGTGTGCTGAATGATTTCATCGAATGTCCAACTTTAACCTGTAGTCTTCTAAGGGTTTCCATCTTAGAATAGCGGCAAATTTCCCTAATAAACTTACTGTAACAGACGTTTCAAAGGTATATAAGCCGTCCAACTTTGATAATAATGAAGTTTGGGGACCAATGTCAAAGAAGACCGAGCCGTACTTCCTGCGTTTTCCAGAAGTCGAGTCTAGCCTCCCCATCACTCGGTATAGTTTGCATATATGTCGCTCATACAAGGCCTACAGCTCGCACTGGTGTTACTCCGGGATTAATCTTTCGACAACCGATTCAGCTGGATCGTTGCGCGGCTCCTTCGGAGTAGCATTCATTTCAGGCTCGACACGAACCAACGACTGATGCTGCACTCTCGCAACTCGGGGACCCGTTTTGTATCTCTTGTAGCATTCCCTGTTAATTTCTATACGTAGTGCCCACGTCCGGCAAGAAGTGCAACTATGGACCCATGTTGCCGAGTGTACTTCGTTCACCGATACAGTGTAAGTAGATTTGCTCTCCGGAATTTCCCGACACAGAGTAAGGCTAGGATATTTTACACACCAGTCTGATTTTGACATTATTATCCAGCGACATCTACTGTGTTCCCGCCCCAGCTACCGCGTTAACAGTTTCCGACAAGTCCCTGACGACGTAATCGGAGGAATCTTGTACTGTAGTTCAAATAATCCGCAAACTTTCGTGAGAACCCTTTTCAAATCGCTTAGTGGCGTTCGTACACTCCGGATCAGCGTTCGTGTACCGTTTCTCATTTTATCACACTTCTCTAATACATGGTATTTCGTCTACGAAACCGTCAACTAATCGTTTACCTGGGACAAAGTTTTGATCGCGAAGATTAGTTTGTGTTCACCCTTGAACCTGGTCAAGCAGCGGCATGCCACATTCTCCATTGTCCTCATCGTCGCAACCACAACACTTGTCGAGCACACCGATTGGAGGGTCATTTTGAAGTACACATTGTGTGCTTGGATTGCGACGCAGCATATCCATGTCGACCGTGGTTCGCATTGAAGCGAACCTGAGTCAATGGAAATTGGATGTTGGCCGCGTGAAAACACTGCATCCCACAACGCGATTTGACCTTGTTTGCTATCATCAGATGGCGATAGCAGGCCTGGAAGCTGGGACCATCATAATAGTAGCCGAAATCTCTTCCACTTTGACTATCGGGTCACGATAGTCAGCGCTTAGCACAACGGTTAATGACTGGTGGGGGGCCATTTTGAAGTACACATTGTATGATTGGATTGCGACGCGTAACCTCAATCTGAACCGCGATTCCCATTGAAGTGGATTTTGGTCAATTCGATCATTAGGACTGTAGCTGATGAAGCACTGTTTTGGGCAGCCAACACCCAATTTCCTTTCACCTCTTTATCCCTTACCCGGTCTTCAGTTAAACACCGGAATTCTCTCACATGCTTTAATCAAATGACGCGGTTACCCAAAAACCCTTACTTCACCTTTGAATGACCAAACAGTGGATAGTGTGTCCGCAGACATTTGTGAGCACATTCTCGCATCACTAGACAGATGGATCCATCTAGTCATTTCCTTCTTCTGGCTAGCCGAACAACCTCCTCGTGGTGCCAGCTGGGTGGTTCGGGTTTAACCCGTTCCAGCAAATAGTTCGGCGGCAGTGTTCCAGGACGTGGTGGGTTTTCGCCCGGCAAACGTTCTCCCTATAAAAAGCCACAAATGTCTGTTTATCAACACTGTGACGTGGCGGATGTGACTCGCCACTAAATAAGGTCACTGGCCCGTGGACATCCGGAAAATGGTATCCAACCCACGGACGTCAATCGCTTATTCTCACATTCCTTCCGATAACAAACAGTCAAAAATTCTGCAGCACATTCAAAAATACAAGCTACATTCATAGACAATTGCATACATATATACACCCATACACTTACATTCACTGTTATGCCAAACATGTACTCTATGTACATTTTGATCACACTATGTTAGCTAAACATGATCATGCCTGTACAGGTGTGCCTCGCATTGTCGAGAATAAAAGTTTATTTGTTTATTTATTTATTGCGGTGTAACACGAGTGGTTTGACACTTTGGCCCATGATTTCCTCTCCCACTTCGAGAAACACTTTCATCGTTTCTACCCCAGCAGCCGGTATCTTAACCTTTCGCGTTTTAACTCCGGAATCTACTACTTTCATACTGTATCAGTTACTTCCAAGACTGGTAGCACACCGTTTTTGCATCATTTCTACCTATGCTTGGTCGCTGTGTCTACGGACCAAAAAACTGTACTGCCAACAACAATGTAAGACATTCACCTTCTTATCGAGACGGTTCTCTTTTTTCCATTCCTTCGGTGGATGATATTCTCCCAATCGGTGTTGATCAATGCAAGCAGTATGGAAGATGGAACATGTGAATGCTTTTCCTGGTACTTTCCATGAGAGGAGCCGTACCACGCCGAATCCGGTCAGTGAACTGTTGCAGCTTGAGGTCGCTCGACTGCGCCGATAACTGACGCGTTGCAGTATTGTATTGACGATTAAAAATTACGTAGCTCAACCACCGTCCCCCATGGCTCAGTGGCTTAGGCTGCTGGCTAGTTGGCGTCATCCTGCAGCTGTTATGAGTTCGATCTCCAGTAGGGAACCCAGGGATGCGCACCACTGACGGTCACCGTTAAACCGAAACGCGCTTCTGGTGCTTTTCCGGATGGGAATTGTGCTATGTAGCTTTTGAGCTGCCAGGACGAATGCATTAAAATTGACTATTCTTGGGAACAATCGAGTCCTGTTCTGGCACACTTGTAGCACTAATCCGAGACGAGCGGATGGACGATATGTGTCCTCGTCTGTCAACCTTTTGTTGCGTGGAACATAACATCGAGCAGTTGCACAGACCTACCATGCTGCCATCGTTTCCTTCATAACACTTAAGCTGTTACGGCATTCTGCGTCGGAACAATGCAACACAGATTACAGATAATAAATCAAAACATGACACTGGGACTTGACGATTTCCTCTTGCCGTCTCTTTAAAAACATGACAGCTCGTTGTTTATTTGGTTGGTTGCTTTATTCGGCAACAGGTCGTGCACATAGATTCCTTCAAACTGCTTGCTGTTTACAGTCTTCGTTGTCTTCGAACGAGCCTAAAGATGTCGGTCGGACACCGTGCATATCGCACCATATCTCAATTTATTTCCCATTACCTCTAAACCCGTCAGAAGCGGTCGCATACTGCTCCTCGGTAGTACGGCTAGTGAGAGTGACATAGCATGCTGTTTGGCAGTGAGTGTGCTTACCGCCGCTTCGACCTACATAGCTGTATCATCCCTAGCACACTGCGTGTCACATGGCTTTACGCAACCCCTACTCACTGCCGAACCGCACTATATCAGATGTATGTCGGTTGCGGTGCGCTCTCGGCGTTGTTTTAGGTGTCATCATGTAGCTTATAGCTGTGGTCACTATGCATCGGGGCAGCAGCAAGGAACTTCTTGTCTTTGACCGATGTACTGTTTGTACACAGTTTGACCGCCGGGTGCTGATGAACACCATCTGATATTCTGTAAGTGTCTCTTGTACACCACCTTAATCGGTGTTAAAGCACAGACGCTAACCGTTTTGTTCTTCTTGCACCTATCCACCACGTATCTTGATGTGCTGTTTGTTGGGCTAAACCAATTTACACTTAAACTAGGTCTTTCTAATGTGGATAAAATTCATTCCACTTTCTTTAGGTTGTTCTGCGTACCTGATAATCTTCTCCTAACTTACACACATCGCTCATGCTAATTGTGGTAAACTTGCGTAATTGTATCGCGTGGTATTTTTTAAATGACTTTCGGGCATTTTGTACTTACCGCGTATTCGCTTATAACCAATTTCCTCCATATGCCCATTTATCAATCATTTATGTCGTCATATACGCTTACTTTATTCGATATCTTTTATTTGTTATCGGCATTTCGAATGATTGGCTGTTGTTTGACATCCCCGGTGTGGCTGCGCTTGATGTGCATGTTTGCAAGGTGCCTACCTGTCTATTGCCCACTACCTCGTCCATACTGGCTCCAGGAGACAGTTGGTCGTTGCTGGAGAGGACGGAGTACACGATCCTTGTGGCCGTGTTAGGATCAAAGAGTGGTTCCATGCAGTCAGTGTGGAGCGGACTACGGTCCAGCCACCGCCTTGTGTGCGATTGATTCCCCAAATACAGCGTGCTTGTGTTTGCCTGTGAAGGAATGTGGGCCGGCTCCGTTGATGTAACGTGGCTCCCATCCGCATGCCTCCCGGTCTTATTCCTTCGGGTTTACACTGGATATGGGGTGTGTGGATGGAGCTGTGGGTGGTGCAGCGCAAGCCATCCATGGTCCCTGTGTAGGCGCAGGGGTCCTGTGGCTGGCCACAGTGACAGACAAATCCGAGACCGGATGCCGCCAACCCTATTTGTTGACTGTGCACTTTGTGCACATATGTATAATCAACAGTCCATGAGATGGACATGGAGCCAGTGCATATATCTTGGGTGAAACTTCCCGAGGGGCAGGTGAATGATACTGAAAAGTGGTGCATAATGCACACTGAACGATTAGTTTGCGTTTCTTTTTGCTATCTTCAAGCGCGTTGAGCTCTAAAGCGCCTGAGTTTCTTGTTTGATATCCCATTGGATGTACCTCATCGATAGTCAGTGAGACGCGCTTGAAACTGCACAGCTCTCGATTCTGATGATGACGATGCGCCTTATGCCCACTACTCTGAGGATTGCTTAGACGTTTATCTCTACCACTTAGTTGGCTTTAGCTGTCTGATCCAAATGTATCGGAATGGTAGTTCTGTGTTGAGAATATCTGATTCGATGGATGTTCCAAACCTGATTTTAGTCCTCATGCATTCGATATGGTTCACTCACATACCAATACTTTGTATGGATACGTGATTGAAATGTTACCGCAAACGTTTGTACACGCCGTAACCCGCCACACTCATGCTCATCCCCACCTAGCATCGAGGACTCGGATTTGGGTCGTAGAGACTACAATCCGAACACTTCAATCACCCCGCCACAGATTTTCGCATCGAGTAGATTTTGAAAGTGTTTTTTATTTAGCGTGTTTTCCTCACTTATTTGCTCATAACTTACAATCAAGCGGTTATCTCCCTTGTAACTTAGCCCTTTTTCAAATTTTTCAATCCGTTCGGTTCTGATCATCCTTTATCGCGTAAGACAGTAATTTCCACTTAGTCATTCAGGTTTTATGCAGTCCTTCTGAAAGCCTTTATTCACAACGTGTTACCATTTTTCTCTCTTGTCAACAGGCACTGAAACAGTACTGCAGCCCCCTCGTATTCTCGATGAACATTCCGGAAACATTGGCTTACTTCGTTGGCCGTTGACAACAGTTCAGCTCTGGGGCGAATCCGCAATTGGCACATGGCATATCCGCTTGGACAATATCGACGGTTTTCACAAAATTCCATCTTGGCCTAGACCAGATTTGGATACTCTTAGGGGCTACTGGCGTTCCGCGTGGTTCGTCGCATATGGGACAGATGAATTTCCGATTCGACTCCGACCACCACGACCTGACAGATTGCCTCCGATGGTAGGATACGCGTTTTCTCGTCACACATTCGCTACCTCTTCGTTTACGTTACACGCGGAACGTCACCCCATTTCTATGGAGTCGGTACACTTCTACTCAGTCCAGTTAAATGATCCGAACCTGTCCGTTCAGTGGATCCAGTACTTAAGGTTTCCGCCTCCCTAACAGTGCTAAGAATGTCGGTGGATATGAGACAAAACACAAGAAGGCGTTTAACAAAAATTGTTTGGGGGGGGGGGCTTTAAAGAACAGTAGCTGAAGTGTTTTCCACCTCTAGCTTACGTGTATACTGATAATGAACAATAGCTGGAATCCGTGTGGGTCTCTCCATGTCGCGCTCAATTGAGCCACGCTTGGCGGTGTTCGCGAACAGCTTGAGCACAACTTTCAGTAAATCAGTCAAAACTCCGTCGAAATCGGTTTCCTGATCTTCCAGATGGAAGTTCTGACTTGAGGTGGAAACCCGGTTGAACACTTGCGTTGTGTACACATTTCACCACTTATCTAGGTGGTATCATCAATGTGTAATGGTAAGTAGCTTGCCATCAAATCTTGGATTCTGGAAGTCCAGTGACGGATTCTGATGGCTACACTCTGCCGTTGATCGAGTAAATAATGCTTCAGTTTTGCTATCCTTACATCACCGGTTCGATCCTGTGTAGTTACGAGCGACTGATGGTGGTCGTAGGGCAGCGTAGCTCCGTACCGGCATATTACTGGTGCTTTTCGTATTCATCTCGCACATTTGAAACCGTGTCCTATCTGAATTGATTGTTTTATTATGATACTATTAATACGTATGTTTTTGATTCTGCAAGGGACAAATCATTAGTACAGCTATGATAATGCTCTTGCGCTGGTGAGCGAAGCATTCAGTAGCTTCTGTGTTAAGGCATTCTGAAATATATAGGTTCTGTTGGTGCTGAGGTTTGTGCAACAGCTTTTCCCAGTGGTCATATATTTATATTGGTCCATCTTGGATGAACTCATTTGGTGAATTGATCTAGAAAATTTCCGTTCAATGCGGAATGTTCTTGCATTTGCGCAAGACATGATAGTGACTGGTAGCCTATTACACATGATAACGTATCTGATGAAGAAGCTAGATCGAATAGCTCTCCTGGTTCTTAGCGCAGTTAGTTTACTAGCCTTGTTGCCAATCCTACGAGCGTTGTGTTGCAGATCTAATGTTCAGATATTGGAGTATGTCTGTTACTTTGTGAGATTGCGCATGAGCATCAAGTTCCTTTCCAGTCGTTGCAACTAGCGGCTCGATGTGAAGCTGCTGGCAACATTCCAGACTTCTCATTAAATAAATGTTTTCAGGGCTTTTCTGTCACTTACGCATACTCCCATTAATAACGCTGCAGTGTCCAAAGACAGGAAGTGTGAGGATTCCGAAAAGTTCGATTTTCTCATGGACTATGTAGATTTTATGGCATATCTTTGCCATAGTCGATTTTGCGCGTGATCCAAGATCCCCTGTCGTTAGTTCTACGGCAGGGTAGTTTTATTACTTCCTATCTTTCTCAAACCGTCCGGAAGGCGTTTTCCCTCTCCTTTTTAATCCATACCACTTGCGAACGCCTAATGCAGGGGATGGATTCGTCCAATTGTGGTACCAATGAAGTCTATCCAAATTTCGTGAGTAGTTTTATCGTTTTCAGATTGATCCAAGTAACACTAGAATTCTCAGTATTAGTAACGGCACTTTTCACTCGTGGGGCAGATATAGCCATGGTGCGATGAATCTACTAAGTAGAATTGCTCCACTGCAATGTGGACGCTAGTGGTGAGAAAACAAGCATTGCAATTGGAAGACCGGATTAGCTTTCGGGAAATGTTCCTTGTCAGTTTTTTGGATAGTATATTGGATAGTTGAGTCGATAATGGTGTTCATTTCAATGTATGAGGTAAGCCGTTGCATCTTGTGGTCAATACCAGAAAAATTACCTAATATATCAATTTTTGGTCACTCAAAAATACATAAGCAATTTACATTTAGTTGGTGGGACGTTATTTTCAACCTACAACTGCTGTGTGCAACTCCATTGGTGTAATAGTCAGTTTTCACGGAACACATCGGCTCGTAGCCTAAAGGGTCCCAAACTCGCCTTGTAATTCGGGGTCGCGGGTTTGAGCCAGCGTAGGGACTGGGCGACCCTCACAGTATCACTAGCCCATGTACAACTGGTGGTTGCGCGACAGCGGAGCAACGGTACTGCGTGCCGGCGCACTGCTGATGCCTTTCTTTCAGGGAACACATGAATTTACTTCCGGTCGTTATTTTTCCACCAGCACATGTTATTGCAGTACGCCGTGTCCAATCAGCTTCCACTTTTTTCCTTCCCTTTTTATCGCTTTGCAGCCTCAAAATCAATTTCCAAGTTTACTGTATTTTATCTAGTGGGCCTGGTTTTCTTTGTGGTCTCTTTTCGTTTCTCCATGCATCTGATCAAATTTATGCTTTTCTTTATCGACCTACGCTGTGACCAAAGATGATTCGTTTTTTTATAAGCTCGTTTATGTTCCCTTATTCTCGTAGACAAACTCTTCCATCTTTGGTCCACAGCTACCCTTTGTCATCCTGACACGTTGCTGTACGAAATGTTTCATCACTCGTGTTCTGGAAGGCTATGCTGCCGGTATTACTATTGCGCTCTCGATCGCCATTATCTGTTCGGCGTTTATCGACTCCTAAAGCGAGTTCATCACATGCCATCTGTTCATTTGCTGCCAGTTGCTATTATCCCTTATCAGCTGATTCCTGTTGCTTTGATTTTACTCTCGATGGTTTCGTCGACACCCACAGCGCTCGCCCAGTGGCACTCCTTCGGTCTCGGTCCTTGTTCCGTCTGGCATGCTACGATGTACACGAACTCATGCAGATCTTGCAGTAGGCTGGTATTGTGCGCACCTTAGAATCCCTCACCATCGATGTTTGCTGTCTTTCCGATACGCGTTTGCAAGGTCCCAGTACTGTGATTGAGTTGAGACCTCCTACAGACCTACGTCTGTCTGGTAACACAGAAGCAGCAGCGGCAGGCTTGTCTGGCGTTGGTGTAGCGCTAAGCAGCAAAGCCAAGGCCGCACTGCTGAACTGGTTCCCGATTAACAGCTGTGCACTTCGGCTCCTTAGATCATGCAGGATCAACATATGTCGTAAGAAGAGACGCAACTTGTTTGTGATCTCAGCTTATGCTCCAACTGACTGTAGTTCCGATTCAGTTAAGGACGATTTCTACTGTGAACTTCACCAGCTCTTGAGCAGAGCCTGAAACTCCGATATTGTTTTTCTTGTTTGGGATCTCAGCGCACGGGTCGGTCGTCTATTATCTTGCGAAAGTCACCCCAGTGGCCACCATGCGCTCGATGAAAGCCGCTCATATAATGGAGGGAGACTTCTCACACTGTGCGAAGATAATCATTTGTCTTTCTCGAGCACCAGCTTTCAGCATTCGATGAAACGTTCCGCTTTTTCGCGACCCTCCTTTTGCCTCTCAACCATGGTCTCAGATTGATCTTATCGCAATCAGTTTCAGATGGAGGGGTAGTGTAAACGATTGCAGATCCATCTGGTCTACTTTTCTTGACTCAGACCATGCTCTTGTCTGTGCGAACATTTGCATGAGTTTCGGAGGGTCCCCGAAAACGAAGTACTCTAAGGTAGATACAAATAAACTATCTACTTTCTCGGTTCAACAATGCTATCAAGCTTCTTTGGCCGTTGCACTCAGCTGTGACTAAACGCAAGACATTGATGAACACTAGCCGTCCATACAGAGGACCATGGTCGTTTAAGCGCAGTCAGTATGTGGTCGTACTCAGCACCCTATGAAAGACTGGATCTCCACGTGCTCTTTGGATCAATTTGACCGTTGCGGATTCTTATCATAATGGAATGCGCCGTTCTGTCAGTCCTCATCTCAAGCAAAGCCTACGCAGTGCTCGTGAAAACTGGTTGTAAGCGACAGATTCGTTTGGGGCTCGAGTAACTCGTAAAATCTTCCGGGTCCAGCCAAGGAAGGAAGCTGAGACGTTAACTACGGTACTATTAAACAAAATAAAACTTAAATACATATTTGCATTCCTCAACAATGCCCGTTCAGTCCTAAAACAACCGGGTCTTCATACAGTTACATAATAAAATAGCGTCAACGCACTTGCTACCATACAGCAAGGCCACACAGCACAGATACAAAGCGAGGAATACTGGGTTCTTTTTAAGGTGTCCGAAATCTTATTCCATTGGTCCGCGGCACGGCGCACAGGAAGATACAAGGTGTCATTACATTCAAATGGAATGAGATTAACGCGTCTCGGTGCGGATATGGGATCAAAGACCAACAAGGGCCTGGGTGCCCTTGGGGTTAGTAGCACGGGGTGGGAGTGCACAATCGTCACAGCGGGTTTGGGATGAGAGCAAGTCCATGTCGAGTGGGAATTTACAAGGAGCAAGACAAACATAACAAGGGCTTGTGTACCTTTGGGACTAGTAGCACGGGGTGGGAGTGCACAATCGTCACAGCGGGTATGGGATGAGAGCAAATCCATGCTGAGTGGTGGGTCACCTGGGCATGTTACACAGTATGGGCGCGGTCCTATCTTGCAGCGAGGTTGGAATGAAACCACGTAGACATGGCTAGGAAAACAATGAATCGCACAATAGCCCGTAGGAGCAGGTGTCAACTAAGGCTCTCGGGAACAGGTCTCCTTACCATGGTGTGAGTTGTAATGAAACATGGAGCTTTGCATATTTAATCGCATGGAGTAGACAAGTAATGGGTTATCCGGCATCTCGGCAGAAAGCGCAGATGGTGTGGTTATCTGACTATGATCTTGACATGCAGGCTGCGGTTTTCGTTGTAATTCTTCCGCCTACACTGGTGGTCTCAGCGTGTTTCGGAAATTGAGGCCGCTACCCTGTCTGACAATACTCGCAAGCTATTCCAGTTCATTCGTTTCATTGGCCTCAAAAGGCTTGGAGTCAGTGAGACTATATGCGAAGCGGATAGTTCGCCGATTGCCAACCTACAGGGACGCTTGGCTCGATGGGCTGAACATTTTCCTTCCCCGTTCAATTGACCCTCACCGTCCACTTGTATGCCCTACGAACCCAGCTGCCCGCTTTGGGTCGTCAACCCTGATCCACTCAGCACAGCGGATGTTTGTCTTGCGATTTGACACGTGAAACGATCCAAGGCTGCCGACTGAACTGGATTTACTTCGGAACTGTTCAAATATAGAGGCGCAGTTCTCATCAGCCAGCTAACCTTATTGTTCTCAAAAACCTGGCATGAAGTAAAGGTCCCTTCTTCCTGGAGCGAGACACTTGCTGTCCCGATTTTTAAGAAGGGTGTTCGCAGTTCATGTATCAAGCAGCGGAGGTATAGTTTTATTTCGGTTGCCTCCAAGCTATTAGCATCCATTCTACCCCGTAGACTATCTCCCATTCCTGGATCGCAGTACCGGGATCAACAAACTGGCTTTCGACCTGGCCGCGGTTGTGTGGATCAAATATTCACCCTCCGCCAAATCTTGGATCTCCGCTACCTGGATAGACTGACGTGTAGCGCTGCACGCTTCGGTATATTTTTGCACCTTCAAAGTGCAAAGTACTGTTGCAGAACTGAACCGACACACCCGTTCTAGTTATCACCGAACAGCCACTGGAAGTGGTGGATCAGTTCACTTACCCCGGTAGCTGTGTCACCTCTTATGGTCACATCACTGAGGAGGTTACTTCACTTGTCAGCAAAGTCCGTGTGGCATTTCAAATGCTGCATTATCTTTGGAGACGGCGGAATATCAGTCTGTCCATGAAAGGTATGGTGTATAACGCTGCGATAAGTGCGGTATAGAGATCTGGCCAGTTCTTCTGGTAGGTACACTGGGTGAACAATGCTGACGTCTAGCAGTTGGTTTTTGCAAGAAGCTTTCTGGTTCCTCTTTCAAGTGTTTACTGTATCTTAATGGCTTAGGTTAGCTAAACCATGTCCTCCGTATGCCTGTTGACCGTCTTCCTCGGCGTGCATTATAGCTGTTGTTGAACTAACTTGGGTGAAGCCATGAGGTAGCCAGTCCATTATCTGAGATACAGCCATGAAGAAATTGACTGAAAGACGGTCAGGCTGGTGCGTGCCTTGGTTGAAGACCGTCTCAGACATGGGGCAGTCAGTGGCTTTCCTGCATTCGCTTTTTTACATTTGGTTCTTACTTCTCGTTCTCATTTGCTTAGTCTAACGCAGCTACCAGTGGACACCAGTGACGAGTCTGCTATCATTTCCTAGTCTGACTGCTTGTTTAAACTGTGCTTGGTGCTGAGTAATCTGCGGGGTAATTGCTGATTATGACCTGAAACAGTGAAAGCCGTAAGGAAACTGTCTCGTTGATACCGCCTTATCTTCGCACAATCTCCAGCTGTTTTTGATGGCATGTTATTGACAGGGTGTAGTTGCCTTGACCATGAATGTTTACTTAGGGGACTTTGGGTTTTCTGGGAAGTCCCCTCCTATCCCTCTTACTATTCCTCGTTCCGTAAGTCCTTGTGGTTGTACGGCAGCGAAGCATCAGTTCAAATAACTGATACACTGCAGTACTAGTAGTAGTTGTTGTTCTTGTTGATGCTGATGACAACAGTCTTCGACGAAGCCTTTACAGCTCAAGCGAAGATCTAGGATGGCTTGTACCGCCTGATATTTAGAGCACGCTTTCCTTTGTTATCCAGAAGGCGGCGTAATTGTGACCTGGTAATTCTAACGAAGGTAGCTATTAGTGACATAATTACGACCCGACTACTGTATCACTAAGGTATGCAATCGCGGCGACCGAGTAGCAAAGTCTCTTGGGTAAGATAGGTAGTTTTCAACTGTTAATCTTGTCACCGACAACGCATCGCGTACTCGTCTCACGGCAACACGACTGATAAAATTGGAGGACGGGAAAGACATCGGGCGCGAAGTTTTCTGGGACCATGAGATTTCCACAAAAGTTTTAGTGGTGCAGCACATCTCATTCGCCCGAGAGTGAACAGCGTGCTTTAGTACCGTCTGTTGGCTGATGTAACCGAGATTGCGGACATTAAACGAACCAATGTGTAATGAGATTTTGGCTGGATGAGGATGTTACACGGATCGATATCATCCGTGTTAAAGTCTTCAGCACCTCTTACATAGTAGACAAAGAAGAAGGGAGTTGTAAGGTAGGCAAAGAGCAAGAGGGAAAAATAGCATTAGCGACGAGTTTGAGGGCCTGATAATACTCTCTGACTGCCTATTCTAGCAGCAGACCTATGTTCGAGATGTCACACCTCTAATTCTGGATTCAACAATTTGACTCTAGGCATTGGAGCACACGGAGCTTCGTTTGAGGTACTACCCTTAGCTTTTGACTCTGTAGCTGGTCGGTGGCCCAGAGGACAGAGCGTCTGCCTTGCAACCCGCATATCATTGGTTTGAGCTTTTCGTAAAGGACCGGGCAACCCTCGCAGCATCCTTAGCCCATGCGCGACTGGTAGTTGGTGCTTGGTAGCGAAGCGCTGCTTTGGCGCATCGACGTACCGCATGTCTCTTCTCATTTGCTTTTTTGCTTGACTCCCACGGTCCTAGGTGGCAACTCCAGCTCCGCTTGAGATCTCTCATCCACGGTGTTTTGAGATTTTGAATAATGTACCGATCTTTTTCTATGGAATCACGTTGCGCACCTGCGATCGCAGCTAAACGCGGTGAGAGCTGGCGGGTTTGCACATTTTGACCAGTGGCTGTCCGGCCCGAGGCGAGTGGTATCAAACCATTGAACACTGCTTACTGCTCTCCGACCGTCAGAGATAACGCGTAGCATTCTTGCTCCACATCAATCGAGATGTGAACTTATTATCCGTAATCTTTAGCCTCCTGTGCTTACCTTTTTAGTGTCGAGGATCATTAACCTCCAAATCTCCGAGGAGTATAGGGATTTTGTTTGACCCGTCGCCATTGGCCCGCATGGTATGAATAGCTCCGAAGCACTTGGAAACAGCCACTCATCATAGATCTGTTTGACATAGATGTAGGCAGATCACCTCATCGTGGGGGCCGTTATTCATCCCCTCATTCATCTGCTTGTGGCTTTTGAAAGTACCTGCGTACCTTTTGCGCATTATCCTTGTTCGTGAATCTGCACCATGGAAGTTTCCCTGTCAGCTTACCACAATTCCAGCGGCATTTCACTTGGCATTGCTTGCACCCAAATTGGTTCGTTTAGTTCACTGTTGTTTTGCTTTCGTTGTACATTTTTAAGCCACAAGCCTGCAACAAATGGCCTGTACTGATTCTAGTCCCTGGATGGACACCATTATCTTTCTTTGCTAGGATTCGATGAGTTGGACCTCCCACTTGCTCGTTTTACTCAGGTGATTAGCTAAGTCCTCTGTGTCTGCTGGACAACAGATGAACTTATCACCACATGCATACTAATAAAGGAGTCTTCCTACCTCAGGGTTTATGGCGCCGTCGCATATCATCACTCATCTCGTGTCACATTGCCGTTAGTAGGTTCCTTTGTTGTCATTGTCTGAGCTTGACTGGAGGCCCTATTTCAATTTGGTCTGGTCTCAGCTTTCCATATCTTACGGCATCCCTGGATCTGCCTTTCACATCCAATACAGCGCTCCCACACTTCTGTACGTTAAAGTATTTCCCTTGTACCCAGTCACGCTATGTTGCATTCCAATCCATACTTGATTAATTATCTATTGCGCCTTTGTTGTCACTTGGGTCAAATTGCGTATACACCCAGATATTTACATTTGATTTTCTCACAGGAGTGGTTCGCCCCTTTTGAGCGATACGTCGTAAATGACTCTGATTGGTACGCGGTTTTCACGGTACGTTCGTGAAAGTCACTAGTTCCATATTTTGTAGGAATAACGTTTTGCATTTTTCTCATTTTATGTTTTGTAACTTTTTCAGTGCCATCTTGAGTGTGCCGCAGGCGGCTGCACTGGACCTGGAGCTGATCAATGTCTTGGCGGTTGTCGAAACTTTGCTACACAAACTAGGTAAGAATATTCTCACTCATATGTCGCCCACTTACGTGAATTTGGGACTCTGTTCCATTGTGGTAGCTTTCCACTTGCTTTTCTGTTGCGGGCCAGCCAAATATCCCCGCAAAAACGCACCAGAAACTCCGGTATAGTGGCTGTGGAAAGCGGGGTCCAATTCCTGCCCACAACGTAGCAGTGTTCAGCCACTTCAAGACGCGGCCCAACTGCGTATCTGTTGACAATGGTCCTTTGCAAATTGCCATCTCGTCGTGATAACTGTTTTCTCTAACTTAGTAACCTATAGCATTGGCTGTGATTCGCCCCTTTGTTGGTCCTAAAAGCGCTTCCTCTTCGCCTTAGTTGGCAGTCGGTCGGGTGACGGGATTTTGTGTGCGTCGATGGCCAGGCAGCGCTCGAGTCCAAGTCACTAGCGCGCGTCTACCGTAACCCCCTCACGTGTGCGTCCGTTCCGAGGGCTCAGCGTCTACCCGAATACGTGCGGCTAGGATCGTTCTCACACTCACTCAATTTCCGTCTCACCAGAGGGTACCCTGGGCTAAGCTAACGCCATCAGATCAGCGCAAATCCGTTCGACTGGCCAGCGTTCCAAGCCGTTAACGTAGGCGTGCTCCAACCGTGCCAGTGACAGTCTTGTCAGGCATTTACGCAATCGTAACGATTTCCCATGGTTATGTTTGTGTTCATTGATCCGAACTCGCTGTTCGTCCGCTGTGCTCAGGTCGTCACACACCCACTCTGTTTGTGGCCATACTGAAGTAGGTCCATGCTATACTTAGGCTTCTAACCCAGGGAGCACCAATCATCTTTCACAGCGGGTCGGATAACTGACTAAATAAATCTCGCAGACCGGATAGCCATTCCGCAAGCAGGAACGACAACTATGGGAAAATGGACAAGGAAAACGCGACGTTCGGCATGAAATTTTCTTCTCTTAGTGACCGTAGTGAACTGTGAATAAAGCGGCATCCGGACAAGAAAATGAGTACATCAACATGATATTAACTTGCAAACACAATGAAAATTCCAACCAAACACCGGGAACTCAGAGGACAGGGGTGATTGATGAAACTACGACTCACATGTAAATTTCCTAGGCCGCAATATAGATACATATCTATGGGCGCAAAGTGCTTGAAAGGCTTGGGCAAAACGTTTCTGCTGGATCCAAGCCAACAAACTTTACTGGAACTGGATACCGGTACTATTTACATGCAGTTACCAATACCAAAATGCACGGATCTCGACAATTTGCGCTTCTAGCCCAGTTCGGTATCAACAATATGCTCGCTTTCCGAATCTCTAGCAAGCCTATCTTCAAAATGGCGTCGTAATACGCGGTGTTTTATATGACTCGTGCACCAAGAGAGCTAATCGACCGCAAATTGCGACCCAGTGGTATGAGGCAAACGGAAACAAAGCAAATTGCAAGGGTGAGCGGGTGGGCACTCTAATCCACATCCCAGGGATGTGAGCACACTGATGGTACGATATTGCGATGTCATAGACAACAACTACGACCTTGATCGCGCCAGTGTTTAATAATAATAAATAATAATGTGTCAGCTGTACGCCGTAACGGCGCTTCGCTGCCGCGTGTAAATTGCACCACGTCTCGTGTTTCATCCCATCCATCATGCTAATTCAGGTGCAATCGGCCGGAGCAGACCCGCGGGCTGGTCTAACCCGCGCAATCGTGGCTAACTTGCGTGGGCGGTACTTGATTCACTTTCCGTCCCCTGATCCTGCCTCGCCTCCTGTCCAGTTAACTAGCTGCCAATGCATCCCGTGCTACTAGCCAAGGCTTATTGTCCTGGCCAATCCTGCCTCCTCTTCTGCAATCACCCTGCACATCACCATTCCTAAGCCATAGCAATACTGTCTTGCCTCTTCGGCTCCTTGCCATCTTGATCAGATCGCCCCGGCGGAACTTGATTGCCCTCCTTTTCGTTATCACCTCATCTGTTCCGTCTACTCGAACTGCAGGCTGCTGTTGTCTGTACCACCCGTCAAAGCTCTCTTATCTTTCTCTCCTTTCTTATCTGGTACATATGTTGCGTTTCTCAATGTTTTTTTCCATTTTAGCTCCTTTGACAAACTTATTGTACCAAGCGACTATGTTTTAAGACTGTTTGAGATCTTTCTGTATTTCCCTTATGTCATTTTCAGAACATTAATCTGTGAGGAGTTTGAACGTTGGATGCTAAGTGCGTGGGTTTACTCCGTATTGAGCAATTCACTTGTCAGCTGTCGGTACTGCGTAGGCGCTTGGCGGCGTGCACAGCTGACTTCTGATGGCTTAGCGTAAAACCCTAATGTCCTAAGCAAACATTCATGGTCAAAGCACCTACGCCCTGTCAATAACATGCTGTCATCGGGGTGACAGCTACCTTGCGGCCTTCACTGCTCCGCTTCATAATCAGCCATTACCCCACAGATTAACACAATTTAAACTGGCAGTACGACTACGAGACGACAGCGGTCGTGCCACCAGTGCCGACTGCGAGCCATGTACTGTACTCTCTCGAGCCAAGCACAAGGTGGCACATATTAGTTGCAACTGATTTATTACCTACATGCCAGTCATTTTTCTACTGCCTTGTGTTAGCGGGTTTGCTGTCAAACTTCTAGTGTATGATAAAACACGAGTTTTTCATGTGGTTTTCTGCCTACACACACGCAGCACGCCTCGAAGGTAGGCTCGAACTGACAAACGTGTGGGCACCATGCAATTTATGGGGCCAGCTGCATCACGCGTTTCGATGCTCCACCGTTGATCCGTCACACCACGCGCCGATTCCTTCTCACCCATTGTCATCTACCGAAACATCAACTGCAAGTGAACGCATTAAAGCTGGCAGAAATGTCAGAAAACTAACTGGCCTTAGAAAGCACTGGCCAATATCGGTGATAATGTGCAATGGTACCATTTCAATATTAATTGAAATGATGAGACCTTGTAAATTAAGCTGGCGAGAGAGCTTTGACGAAAACAGATGTCCCGTAAGCAAGTCAGTTTTCCTAATGGAGCGATGCTTTTACCACTTGTCTAGTCAACTAGTGTTTCCTTTGCCATTCTTGGATTACCTCTAACCCTTGCAGTATTCAAGCTCTGGTCTTAAACTAACTATTGTTTCCTCTAGTCGCATATATACTGTCTCCTAAGGATTTTCAAAAACGATCATTCTAAGGAAAACAGCTATGTCCTTCCATACTCTCCTATTTTAAACATCCATCTTCAGATTTTTCTTTTTCTTTTCTCCAACTTGTTGGTTTGGTTATTCTCCATTAGAGTAAACGAGTTCAGACAACTTTGACCTCGACTGAGCGTACCAGGCTTTGAAACAAAAGCCATATTCGCTGTATTTTATCTCAGTGCCAATGGAGGAGGACGATTGAGGTCCTCATCCAATGACTGGCTCAAAAGCATGTCCGCAACCCAGCGGACGTGGAACTTATATGGTTTATAGGAATGGACACTATCCATTTCAACCCTTAAACTAAAGATCAGTAGACTGAGTTTGTCTGACCACTAATCAGTGACCAACCATGTAGGAGTAGCTCAAGGGGCCCTGGACCACCATTCAGTATAGCCCAATGAGTCGATAAGGTACCATGTTAAGGTCCAGTCTCGTTAGAGAACCATAGACTCAATCAGCTTATAAGCAGTCGAGATTAGACTGAATTCTCTATGACTGTCGCATTCCGAACCTAGGCTCCCTCTGAAATTGGATTTTTAACCGACCGACTCCACACTGTTAGAACAGTGTTCTGCTCATACATGCTCAATACTAAGTTGTGCAACTCATCCACAAGAATTTGTCTCCTAAATTTGAATAGGGCTGGAGGATGTCTGGTTGCTTCGGTGGCCTTAGGACATTTCAAAACTCTGCTCTCCCGTTTGGCTTGTGCGTGTGAATTCCGGATACGGAATAGGGCTAGAGGCGACTGCGTGGTGACCAGCCTTTCAATTAGCGACAAGACTCGTAGGCGTCAAGTGTAGCTGCCGTTATATTCATACGTACTCGTAATTGAGAACTCAAGGATGCTGATTGACACTGGCTCGGAGTGACTTTGAGAACTGTATTCAAACTTGTCTTAATATTTTTAGGGGCTAAAATATCGAAAATGATAATGAAAAACCTACAAAGTACAAACAAAAGATGCTACACCTCCTTTTAAGTGCAATCGTACTTCTCCTTGAATCGCTTCATTCAAAATGTCGCGGAAGCCACAGTGGCAGGCAGATGCGGATAGGTATGCCGCCAATCCATATATTGTTGGCGACATCCGGATTTGGGGCACAGTGCTCAACGATTTTCCTTGGTGCGTCCACATTGGTCTATGTATCCCAAGGAAAATCGCTCTGGAAAATCCGTGGTAAATGAACAATCCCGGTTTTTAACTGACTAGCCGTTATCATGATGTCGACAGTTCATGTTCCGCTCCACATGTTAGAGATAAGAGTGAGCATATCCGTAATTCCCGATGTTCATCCGTCATGGTGAATTTAGCTGCGCTTATGAAAAGGCAGCTACTATCAAGATTAGAGGCGGAAACGCAGAGGTGCCCGCTAGAAGTTGAATTAGAAATAGCCAGTCTTCTGGGTAGACTGAGAAAGTAATGGCATCATCATTATACACTTTAGTTGCAGGTGGAAAACACCTCAGCTATTGTGCCGCAGTATAAAAGAAAAATAACATGCAACAGTAATACACCGGCTGAGTCACCCGTAACGGATGGACATCGTTCTGGAGAGCTAACAGCCGGCTATTGTGCCACAATAAAAATGTTATATTTACTCATACCTAATAACAGGTGGTTGTCGTAGGGAGATGCTATGCCGGGGGACGGGACAATGTAACTCACTACACAGACGCCATTGAGACCGGCTCTTAGTTATGCTAACAAGTGTATCTATCCAAACGCGCTCATCGTTCTTCGGTCCCCAACCAGGAAGCCGGAGCAACCAACCGAGGACAGCTTCGAAGTAAAGA